TTTAGCATCCCCATGAGAGGATGATCTCGTTGCAAGTATAATTACTTAATTATTATTTCATCAAGGAATGCACTCTTCGCCTCGCTCGATATTCTCCGGCAACGTGTCGAGTGCATCCTCGAGCGGAGCGCGTCAGCTCCATGCGTGCGAATAAATCCACCTTGTGCAGGAAAATTAGGAAACTAGACTCCCAAGTGGAGCGTGGATCTTGGATAAGCGCGTTCTCAATTTCTCGAATAGTTAATTCGTCCAACCCGGTCGGCAGTCAGGGTCGTTATAGTAATCGTTGAAAAACTCCGAGTAATTGGCCCAATTTCGCAGAATTCGCGTCTGGGGCGAGAAAAGCGTCCCGCAAATTGCTTCTGCTCGAGAGATCGTGCAGAGGAGGAGAGTGAGAAAAGAAGGGTGAGAGGAAGAGAGAGAAAGAGAGAGAGAGAGAGAGATGACTTCGAGTGCTGCCGCGAGCTATGACGGAAACTTCCTCGACCTCGGATAAAACGAACCGCGAGATCCTCCCATCTCCGGCCACGGAAACTGCGCGCCTCCGCCTCGAAGATCCTCCACGACCTTCACGCGCGTGAAAACGCCTCGATCGACGAGATACCGGCGTGTCGAAGCGCTCGTAAAACTCACATTACCGCCGTAACTTCGTCATCGTCGCCAGTCGCAAATTACCATAGAAGCATATACTAAAGGATCGTTGAAGGATACGAAGTGATGTTGAAGACGAGCTCGAAAAGTCCGGAGGGTATAGGCGCTACTTAAAGAGACTTTTCCAAATAACTCTTTCATGAGTAAAGTATACCTTATGGATGTTTAGAAATCCGTATATATTCATCGAGTGTTGAAGGAAGTGATGAAAATTTCAGATAAATAATAATTATGCGATGAGATAATAACGACGATAATAATAATATAAAATAATAGTAATAAAATATAATAGTATTGAAACAGTAATGTAATAATAATAATATATGCTTCACCGTGTGCAAATTGAGAGAGTGTATTACTGTTGTAAACAAACTACAATATAAAATGAAAATGCTAACGTGATAAAAGGGATTCGAATTTAATCCCGGCGAATCCCCCACGAATCAAGCCGAATCGAATTGAATCAGTCGACGGTTCGCGCGAAATTTGCGCGATATGTTCGATTAAAAATTTTGCTCGACGGAATTTCTCGGGCACGTGAAAATTCTCACGGCGTCATCGCACCGGCGCGTCCCTCAGCCCCGACTCGCCTTTTCCCTCAATGGAATTTCAGGGGCGTTACACCACATATCGGTTTTCCACCGTGCGCCGGATGGAAGCGGTTCGCATAAATTTTCAGCCGGATGGCGGCCGCGTTTCCGTCGGTAGCATCACGGGAATGGCTTTCACGTAGCGCCCTGTCAACCGGCCGTTGAAATATTAAAATACTCGTCGATCGACGCGGAGTCAATTCTTCTTATTCCGTCGAAGACAGAACATTTGTGGAATACGTATTCCCGGCACGGTCAAATTCAGCGCGTCGCGGCCTGAATTTCATGATGTCAATGCCGGGGATAACGTTGTTGCTCGTGGCAGTGCGTATTTCAAGAGCGTCGAGGGCGCGATGAAACTACGATATAAGAATTAATAAGGAAATTTCGCCATATATATCAGTCACCTAAATCTCATTATTCTTTCTATAATTATTGAATATAAGCGCGATCTAGTGGTATAAATGCATAAAATAAATGAGCAATAAAAGACACAAGCAAACGAATTGCATTTTTCACCGAATATTATTATTCTAATGGCTATAACATTCGTGTTTTGTTCCCAAAGGCCGGTGACATTTTTTTATTTGAAATTGCATTCTGTTTGTCGTATGGTGTAAACATTTTAAAAATACATTAAGTAACACGGTTTTGACAACTCTTCCCTATTATCTTAAAAGCATCGCGTGTACAAATTACACGATCAAGTGAAGATTTAAGATTCGTCGCGCCTTTTCCAACACAACTATTTGACTTTCGATATAAAATATGAGGACGTTCACACGCGTTTGTGGACCGTGCGACGAATTTTATCGCGATTACGATGTCGTCACGTCGTCCAGATGCATTTCAATGGTTTGCGAGGAAACGCATCATCCGGGACCTTTTTCATCGCGGGAAATCGAGAAAGGGAGAGAGAGAGAGAGAATCTTTGGATGTTAGGAGGTCGCTGGAGATTGATAGCCGGCGAGGATGCGAGGGAAAAAACGCAGCGCAGGAAGTGCTCGTTGACAAATTGATACAAATGGGCACGGCGATCGCGTATCCCGCCCGCGCTTTCATGTCCTCCCACGTTTCTCGATTTGCCGAAACAACCATCGTCCATTTTTATCTACCAGCGAGTGTCGCGAGCGGGCCGCACGTGCGCGCGCGAAAATTGGATTTTCGAAAATTAACTTATCCCAGGTCAGATTGAGAAAAATCGCGCTTACCTCGCGTGACTTGGCATTCGATATTCTTTCGCTCGGTCACTTATTTATAATTATAAGTTTCTCAATTAACCTAGTTATTTTCCAATTACATTCTATAACGAACCGTCAAATTACCGTCAAATTAATTCAATTATTTTTATCATCCAACTCTTACGCAAGCGAGATCCTGTTTTTCAACTTCTTTTGTAAGTTTTTTTGTAAGTTCTTCTTCGAGCGTGCTTCATTTCAGCAAAAATTACATTTCACAACCGTTGCGATACTCGTTGAAAAATCTAAGCTAATCTCAGGGCCTAGGCAATCGTTAGAAAAGTTACACGCAAATATAAGGGGAACGCCTTCCATAAGTTCGCCGAGAAATCGGGAGAAAAGGGGCCGGGAGCGCGCCGAAGACAGGCGACATCGGCGACACGATCGATAATTCCTTTTTTATCGGACTGCTCGATTTGTATCCGAGACTTTTATTTCTCTGCTCGATTTGCGAAGAGAGACCGGCGAAGGATCGGAGCGAAAAAGTCGGCTGCGCGTATTGTCGTGCCGCGGCACGGAAACTTTTTGACACATCGCTGGTAGCGAACCGCTACTAACTTCCTTAAAGGAACACATCCGCGCGCAGAAACGCTCATGGGAGCCTCCGATGCCGCTGTTGAGCGAGAGCGAGAGAAAGAGAGAGAATGAAAGAGAGGACGAGAGACTCGATTTTCTCTCTTCGAAGCAGACGTCACAACGCACCCCGGCACGTCACAAGTAGTAACGAGTTCCCGCCGCCTTTACAAAATTGTCCTGCAATAAAGTTTCGCGCTCGACAATAACGAACTTCCGTGCGCGGTCTCCGCACGATAACACGAACCGCCATCGATAGCGCCTCTTCGCACAGAAAGATCGCGATGAAGACGAATCGCGCCAACAAAAGAACGTTGCGAAAGTTTTCCGGTTCTTCACTTCGGTTCAGATTCAATTACTTTGTTGTAGACAAAGTTACGGCGATTACACCACAGGTATGTTAAACGGCGCGTCAACGCGCATGAACCTCTCTCTCTCTCTCTCTTTATCAGTTCTCTTTGTTGAGGTCGAAGGGAGTTTGACAGAGATCGCGGGAATGACCAGTGCGCAATTACTTCCGTCGCTGGGGAGAATTCATTTAACCGGAGTGTTTGCGAAAGCCGCGCGCTCGTTTGAAAAATTGCAATTTTCTGGCATGAGAAAGAGGAAAGAGAAAATAAAAACTGATACCCGGCATAGTAAAATAATAAAATAAAAGCAGATCTCTCGTGGCCGTCGGAAGCGAAAATTTCCCTACGTCTCTCTGAATGTATTTTTTCCGTCTTGTTTTTCGGCAAGGAGAAACTATCCCCTCTCCCTCGCGTGTCCCCGCGGTTTGACCAAATACGCGTATAAATTCGGACATCCATTATTGCCACACACGTGCGGCTATTCCCGTCACGAAGTAGACAGACAACGAGGCTGGCTCATGTGGTTGCACGGACCTGGACTAATGTTACATCGGTTATCCCCCTTTCCGCCCGTAACAGCCCGGCATTCCATCTCCGCCGATACCCCGAGCTCGTGTACGTGTGTTTGCGCGGCATACAGCGGCTCCCGAATTTTCGCCCCCCCTTTACGCCCACAACTTTCCTCGCATTAAGCCGCTCGTAAATTTACCGAGATAAACATATTAATTGAGACGAAGTGCGCTTGAAAAAGCTACACTTGGAAAGGGCTTGGAAAACAGAGTGTTGCGCGTGAAAAAGTTTAGTAATATTATGATAATAATTAAAACCTTCATTTCACGATAGTTCGATGATAATCGAGGAAGAAACAAGCGGGACAAATAATAATCAGAATAAATAGCTAGATTAATTAAGAAACGCGGATTAAACGCTTGAATCCTGCGATGTGCAATTCCCTCGAGTCAACTCTTCATCCGATCGGTCAGGAAAAAGTGTGGACCAATGAGAATCAAACGCAGGACCTCAGTTGCCGTGTCGTACTGATAAGAAATCTAATCGGATCGCTAGAAAGAGCGGCTTGCGTTCAGAAAACACAACGGTTGCACAGCGGTTGAGTAATTTGTCCACGTAATTGGTTTAAATTTAGGAATCTAACGGCAATAATCAACTGACCGCTCACTGATCGTTCTGTTCCGCTGAACGCAGCCATTAATGCATGCAAAATATGAAATCAAATATTTTGGTATCGACTTTCGACTCCTTTTAGTTGCAAACGCGTACAATAAGGCTCTGTTCGTATATTCACTGCCAGTACTGAAAATACATAGTTTACGTTACGTGTATTACAGCGTAAAACCGAGCAAAGCCGAGAACTTTTCAACCGATCTTGTCCTTTATTAATCGCACATCTTGAATATTTCCCTCGATATTATCTCGCTCGATTAAATGATTATAATTCGCGCGTCTGAGCGCGAACGTTAACGATGACTACGGCCGAAGCCGAAGTCTAAAGTAAGCTGAGCTCTTAATCGATTCCCGTGTGAGAATCGCGTTGCTCATCTCGCCTCACTTCTCATGTGCCACTCGACGTTAACTTTCAGAATTATGCGAGGAATGGGCGTTGGCGAACAGCCGCGAGTGCGTGGAGGGTGGCAGCGGTGGTTCGGCGGGCACGACGCACGGGGAGGAATCCGAGGACGCGTCCGAAGCGAGGTTCACCCTCAAATATTTGGGCAGCACCCTCGTCGAGACGCCCTCGAGCGAGGAGGCCACCGCGGAAGCCATCAAGACCGTCATCACCATGGTGCGTATTCGAGAACCCTTCAACCCTTCACGCTGTGGTTTATCCTAAGCTCCACGTGTTCCGAAAGGACATCTTCTCGAAAGGGCCCCTCCCCAGCATCTGCCGGCTCTCTCGATCGAAACGAAACGCGCTTTTGTATTCGTCGAATCTGTTTCCGCAGCCGTATGGAAAAAAATTTGTCACAGTTTATTTGCCCGGTTTTCGAAAAATTTTTACGCAGAGGCCGTAGCGAAGCGTTAAAAGCGGCGTCCAAAGCGCGTTTAAATGTGCAAATAACAAAATAAAATATACAATACCGTGCACATTTTCCAATATGCGGCAGACGCACGCGAAAACCCGTTTTTAGACACGTGCTACTGACCGATTGCCTCCACGGCCCCCTCTCTATCTCTCAATACCCCTGAAATGTAATTCCCGAGGCATTTTTCGCGTTTTATGTTATGTGCCACGTACAATACACAGCATATGCGATAATTTGCGCATTGAAATTCGTCTCGTCGTTGCCGCCGTCATGCTGCTCGTCGCGCTCGTCGCACGGCCAGTTGAATTTTCAATTATTAACAAATCTGGCGTTTGTCGAAAGCGGATTTTGCTCGCCCTGTCCCTCCCCCCTCTCTCTCTCTCCTTCGTCGGGCGATTGCCGCTGTATTATTTACGACGAAATTGTATTGCACCGCGTAATTTACTTTAACCATTTTCCGACGCGGCCGCCGTGAAGAGAATTTAATTGAAATTGCAAGAGACTAATTCCGCGTAGCCGCGGGCCCGTTAATAAAGCTAATGAAAATGAATCGTGATTACTTTGCCGCCAGTCCATTCGCCGCTCCGTCTCTGTCGCGGCAGACGGACGTAGTGCTCGCTACGCGACACACCTTTTCTGTGTGTTTTCTCGCATAATTGCTATCTTCCGCCTCTTTTTCTCCCTCTCGTTCTTGTATTTTCCCTTCCTTTTGTATTGTCGAGTTGCTCACAAGCCGCTGGCAGCCGGATTCTACGGTCGGCGATAAAAAGGAAGTTCCCGACAAAAGTTGGATCGTGCAATTTGCGATCACGTCTAATGTGCGAGTTCGAAAATGAACAAGAAGTAAAAACAGAAAAAAGAAAAAGAGGGTAAAAGCGACAAAAAAGATGCACGAAAAGCTACGGTTCGCGCAAAAAGCGGCATTAATTAGAGTCCGCTTGTTTGATCCAACTTCCGTCCGTTCCGTTAATTACGATTCGACTTTATGTGCAAGAAATATCGCTAATATCGCATGCGTTAACGAATTTTGTTTTTCCAATGCGCGAGAATATTGTCGGATACGCGATTTTGTATGCTTTATCGGTTTAGTACGGATGCTAATTGTCGAAGAATTATGTAGGCGAAAAATATTTTCGACGGATTTATTGTTCGTGGAATTTCGTCTGATTTAAGCACGACCAATTAAATATCGGTAATTCGTATATGAGAGAAGAGGGAAAGTGGGAAGAATTGGAAGAAAGAGGGAGAGAGAGAGAAGAAATAAATAAATATATATTGAAATATTAAATTTTGTTGTGAAAATCATGCCGACTAGGTCAGAGACAAAGTGGCGACAAAAATAATTTCTTTGATGAATTCACGGATGATGATTGATAAAAAAAGAAGAAGAAAACAAAAAAACAAATGAAAGAGAGAAATCAATCTCATTTGCGAACGAGTTTTCATCAGTCGCGATTTAGTTTCACAACGAAGCGAGATCCTTATTGTGTATAACGCAATTCCGCGAGGTAGCGAATTTATGCGATCGCAGTGATTTGAGGGAGGTAGCATGATTAATTAATAACGAAAGTTCGCGCGCGCTTCATATAATTCCAATTTCGAAGCGATTACGACTGGGGTATCGCGGAATTACACGGAATTGCAGAAAGCGGTAATGCACATATTTCGGCAATTTCCGGCATAGTAATTAACGAGAGGGGGGATTTGCTCCCCGGCTCTCGCGCGATAAAAACATACACCAGGATATTTTCCATGGTTGACACGGCAAATTTGATTTAACGACGTTCGCGATAAATCTATAATTTTACACGGTAAAAACATGAATTATACGCGCTTTTGGCGTGCGACGTTATTTGCAAAATAATGATCCCGGGATAAAAAACGTATTACCCGCAATTTCCGCGATATGTAAATATCCGTGACAAAAGATCATTTGTAGAAATCTCGTGAACGCGAGGCGCGTCCGCGAGTGCGAAGGAGAAATAAAACGGGCCAAGTCGTTGAGTCGAGACAATGGAAAACGCAGAAACATGGCCGCCGATGACGCCTCGCTCATAGGAAAAAATGTTATATTTAATTTAATAGATTTCTCACATGTCTCATACGGTCCACACCACTTTTTCTGTCAATTTCACACAAGGTACTTGAAAAGTAACACAAATATTGTGTAAAAAAAATGAGCATGAAATTAATATCCATAATACATTAATCGATATTGAAGTGTAGAATGTGTTATTTTAACGCTTGGAAGTGTTATTTTAACACATATTCATGTTGAATATCAACTCGACACAAAACATTGAGAAAGCACAAAACACGATATGTTAAATCGACACACGAGTATGTTAAAAAGTTAATACAAAAATTTTCGCAAGGACCAATTTCAACACACGCAGAAAATTGTTATTTACTGTGCTCGGTGAGCTCGATAATTTTAGCGTGCGCGAGGGCCGTGTGTGTTTAGTGCCATGTAATGCTTTCGCCCGCGAGTTATTTAGCCACACCGTCCGCGACGCGGACAAACCGACCGCGAATTTTCACGAGCAGACGACGCGGCGAACCCGTCTCGATTCGGATCGATTCAAAAGTTTGCCGACAGTTCGCAATCGTATCCCGCGGAAACTTCCCGATCAAAGCGAACCGCGCCTCGTCTTTCCCGCTAATTGTCCCTGCTCTTCCCCCCTCCTCCCTCCCCCAATTGACCCCCATCTCCGTCTTTTGTACCTGGCATAATTGCATCCATTATTGTTAATTCCTTCGCGAAGCGGCGCGTTGTTCGCTTCTAAAATCCGCGAATCAAAGGGACAAGTTCTGTCATCCCATGGAACCTTCTCTTTCTCTCTATTTCTCTCTCTTTTTCTTTCTCTCTTTCACTTGCTCGCTCGCTCGAGACTGGAAACAATAAATCCAATCTCCCGTCGGAATAATTGATCGCGTCACTCGCGCACAACGGTCCCTTTTATTCGACTTCGACTTCTCTCGAACGCGTTGATTAACCCATCCCGACGTAACTCCGGGCTTATTACACACGCCGATGTTCGTTGTCTCAGGCCGTTAATTGAGACGTTTTTGCCGCGAAGTTGGAGATAATGTTATTCGCGTGTCTAATAGCATCGCCTTGCCACCGTGTCGCAACCATAAGCGCAACTCCGCGTAACTTATGCCCGCAAGTTCCCGCTGATAGCGCTATTTGGTGTTTGCGAGCAAGAAGCTACTACACGGATGGTACACAGGCTGTCCTAAATTATATTATGTAACTTGTCAGGATCGATTCAGACCAGTGCATACAAGCTGTTCCTCTTCTCATGGTCCCGAGCGTTTTCGCGAAGAAGAAATATCTCATTTCGCGTCTGCTGTCCTCTCGCAAGGGGAAGGACATCGCGCAGATTGGAATGTTTGACACGTTCGTTACCAAGGGTTTATTCGACGGACTCTTCCCCACAGACTTCGTATGTTTTTTTACGTAATTGTTTAAAACAGGCTTAATTTGATCATGTGAGCAGGACAGAAACATTTTTAATCAGAAGAAATTATTAAAGGGCCGATAAAAGCATTTTAGTGCGATAAAATCCAAAATCTCTAAGCAACACCTATAATTCAAGGTATTGTTACATTAATGTAAATGTAAATGAGAGAAAAAGTTAAAAAATAAGCTCTGAAAATATTCAATCAAAAGAAATTATTAAAAGACCAGAAAGTTCTATTATAATTAATGTAACAATATCGTGAATTATAGATGTTGCTTATAAAATTTTTGATTTTATTGCATTATGCGTGCATCAGCTTTTACCGGTTCTTTAATCATTTCTGACGATTGAATATCTACAGAGCTTTTCCATTAATTTTTTATTTCGATTATAAAAACATTTTTGCTGCCGCACATATATGACGCTAGTCTCTCGTGGGCAGATTGTTGCATCATACACGTGTGGTGGACGTTGGTAGCGAGCATATAATTGATCGAACGGCGGAAAATGTGCGGACATTTGGTTTCTCACGACAATCTTGGCTTACGCGCAAGCTGAATAAGCGCGATTATTGCGCGTATGTTTTCAGGGATTAAAGGTGGTTATTAAAAAATAAACGAAGAGAGGGAGAGAGAGGGGAGGAGGGACGAGTCTTATACCACATTATCTCATTAACGCTGTAAAGCTCGTCCTTTCCTCGAGAGGACTCGTTAATCTGTTGAGAACTTGTCACGATTATATTTCCAGGGATTTTCCTCGAGCTGAAGCAAATATCAATTCTCATTTCGCCTGGACCCCGGCAATTGTTGTTATTTGCAGCGAGGGGCAGGCGGGCAGGATAGAGGAGAGCGAGGAATTCAATTGAAAGCTCGACTGCTTTGTGGAACAATTTTATAAAGTAATGTCGCGTTAATTGATCGTTATGAAATCGTAAATATGAAATTTAATGCGGGGCTCGCCTTTAGGAGCGTATAATTAGCCATCTCGTGTTTTATCACTCTAATCATGTTGATCGAACAAAATTCGGATTTCCAAAGAATCAATTTCTCGCGTGCATGTGCGTATGTGTGTGCGCACGTGCGAAGCAAATATTTTTCGTCTTCAACGTATCGGTCGCGGTATTAATTCGAGGCGAACGGCGATTTTTATCAAATATGCTTTCTCTCTTTCTTACACAGAGAAAGTTGTTTTGGATTTATTATATACGTTTGTTTAGCTTAGGTTTGTTTAATATAAACAACTTAAAATTTAATATCAAATGTTATATAATTTTAATTATATAATTATAACATAATCTCATTTAAACGAAAATGTTATTTCATCTGAATAAACCATATTGTTTGAAACGATAATATTATTTAGAGGAAATAATTCAATCAAAAAATTTGTCTCATTATACATTAAATATTGTCCCGCTGATACAAAGAAGTTCTTTAATAGTTTTCTAACATGGTATTACTCCTTTCAAACAATTTATTGCTTGTGAAAAATATTATAATATTGGAGAAAAATACGAAAGAATTATGTTATTTAGTGTTAAAGATATTTATTGTTGAGGAACCAAACAATCCTACTTGTTAAATTAAACATCCGTTTGTTTGCTCTACTTCAACAGACAAATTTGCTTCAATTAAAGAAATTTGATTAAATCCAAAGAAATCTTTTTCTTTGTTTACGAGCAGACAAATTCTCATCGCCTGTAATACTTCCGCTGTATCCTTAATTCTTTATGTGCCTTTTTATGTTCCTTCTTTCGAAGGAATACCGGATGAGGGAAGCTCCAATTTAAAGCGAATTACATTTTATGTCGCTCGTAATACACCCTCGCCCGCCTTGTCTTCAAGTTAAATTAATAATATCGCTTTGGTGCACGATTAATATATTATCGAGGAATCCCCCTAATCGAGCTCTCTTGAGGAAGGATTAGAGGAACCTGTATCGTCTCCGATTCTCTCTCTCTCTCTCTCTCTCTCTCTCTCTTTTCCTCCTTCTCTGTTTCGCTCTGATTACATATCCGCGACAAAAGGGGAGCCGCTCGCAGGGATCCGCAGGAGAATCGCGGGATTAGGATGCGTCCTGAAATTTCGCGCGACGTTCGCGATTAAGGCGGGATATCTGTGCGAGTATGCGCGGAGTTAAATCGTTAAATGGACCGCTTAATCCGCGTGAAGCCTCGTAATTGCATTGCCGCGGAGCGCGCGCGCGCTCGCTCGCAACGGGCTCATCGCTTAGCAGATGAGATATTTGATCTCCGAAAAAGGTAGTAATATCGCGCCCCGTTTACCCGGTTCTATGCTATTTCAGTCCCCGCCGCTTACGCGAATACCGCGTCCAACTATTACAGACCCCTCGGTAAACATCGCCTTCTGCTCGTGCAAACGGCGAAATGATTGCGGACGCAGCGATAGAAAAAAATCGATAGGAATTCGCCGTTCAGTCGGATGATTCGCCAGCGAATAATCGTTCCCGTTCCGAGACACGCTCGTGGGCGATTTTGCGGAATACAGAGTAGCTGGGGAGATGCGTTGTTCCGTTTGCCTTCTGTGGATCGTCGGAGAACCGATGCCGCGAGAGAACGACAGTTGTGCCGCAGTGGGAAATTCATTGATCGAACGATGGACGAGAAAATATTTCGTGAACTGTTTCGTCCTGTTTTTCCTTCTGCATTCCGTAAATTCGTAAAGTTCCTTACTCTGCCGTTCTTTCCCTTATTTATTGTTTTATTTTATCTTTTTTTTTATGGTATACATCAAGGAGAAAAGTTCAACTTTAAAGAGTAATTTACCAAACTTTGCTCGGGCGAAAAAAATTCGTTCGAGCGTACATATGGTCGATTGAACAGATTTATACAGAATGAGATAATAATCACAAGAATGGGAGCGACTTGTTTTTCTCACGTCTCTTCGTTTATTTGGGAATATTCCACTTTTTTCTTACTTTTTCAAGAATGAAACTCATTTTTCTCACTATTTTTGACAGCTAAATCTCTCCCATGTCTGTCATTATCACCCCGGATATCTTCGAAATATAAGAGTATAGGAAAATAATTTATCTGACAAAAGTTACATAGATATCAAAAATTACATGGATGGTCATTACTTCAAACACTTTCTATGAACGTAAATTTTTTCCTCTCCATCTATCTAATCGTTAATAAGATATTTTTATTTTTCGAAGATATTCAAGGTGATAATAATTATTGTCTCATTCCATGTAATTATAATTAATTCGATAATTGTGATTTGACCGGCAACTATGTCAACACAACATATTATCAAAACAACGTGTAATTTACTCAATGAACACAATATTTCCTTGAATGAGGATGACTGGCCATTTTATCGATCCAGTCATTTCTTTTTCTCAGTGTATACATTATTAGGTTTAATTATGATTTTCATGCTGACGATTTGTGCGAGATTCGTACGCAATATCAATTGGCATTTGCTCATCATCGTTTAATCGAATTTCAAGCATCTTTCTTTTACACTGCAGTTAAATATTATCCACCTAACTTTCTTCCGTCTAATATTTGTTCTTCCCTTTATGCTTTACGTTCTGCTGAAAGTAGGTATATTCCATCTATATAGAAAAATTTAATCTATAAAATACTTTTAGTACAAAAATAATGCAATAGAAGCAGTATCGGCACTGATGCATCGCTTTTTGGTTAATATTTCGATATAACGTAGTTTATTATTGTATACTAATACTTAAATCTTTCAATAAAATTATTATTATTATTATTATTGTTTACCTTTCTTATTTATTCCTTTTATCTATTCTTTTTATTCGTTTTTATTTCCTTCCCTCCCGCTGCCTACGTTCTATTTCCGCATGCAATATTTCTCTCTTTCAAATACATTCTCTCTTTTCTGTAACGCACCATTCGCTGCGTTAAGGTTGCACAGAGGAATCGACAGAACAAAGTTACTTTTGCGGGTCCGCTAATGAGTGGTAGCTCTGGCGTATCATCACGTTTTATCTCGTCCCTTTCGTCGTTTGTTACAGGCAAAGGCAAGCGGAAAAAAGCTTCAAAGGGTTTCCCTGGCTGTGAGTTTGAGAGGGATTAGAATGACGGACCTGGCTACCGAGGAGGATCAGCTTCAGGTGTCGATATACAGGTAGGAGCCTTGGACCGATAATCGAGTATAGGGGATTAGTAGACCAAACGGGACTAACGGTTCGGTGTTGCTTGACATTGATTAAGATATCTAATGACGAAAACATCTAACGAGTATCCCTCCGCAAATGTGTCCATTGTGTTCTGCATATTTGCGAATAGATTTTCTGCAATATTGGGAGCACGCAGAAAAATATCATTCTATTGTTAAGAAAAGTGATTGTTCAGTTTACTTCCCTTCTTTTAAGTAATATTTATCTTTAACAAAGAATATTTCCTTGTTAATGGTTTTAAAACATGTCGTCACAAATTTTAGGATAGTTCATTCTCGCCCGCTCAAAAGGAGAATTTATTCTTATTTCAAGAATATTGTAAAACTTTATCAAAGAAAGAGAGAAAAATTGAATTCGGTTAATTTAAATAAACAACCGGATTTTTGTTTCATTCAGAATATAATTTAAATAAATATAATATTTACGATGAACTTGTGATATATTCACGGATATATAATCTTATGAGATACTTTGAAAAAGTTACATTTGCTTGTATGCAATATTTTCCTGTGAATCTTCACCGTGGACCTTTCCACGCTTTGATCTTTCCTCAGGGATGAATTCAACATTAACCTCTGAAAACATGATTTAATTTTTACGTGACATCTGTCAATCGTGTGAGGAAATTTCTCTTCTTCTTAAGGTATTTTACGATGACTATTTATTCACAGTAACGTTTGTTATATTTTCGTCGACAATATTTGAATTTAGCGAAAGAAATTAAACGGGACCAAACGTACACACGTGTCTGCATCCCCGAAGAATTTAACGTCGAGATTGAAACCCACTTTATCTCGCCTTGCCGCAAACTCAGTTTTTTCGGTGCGATTCGAGCGGTCTATATGAAATAATCACATTGCACACTAATATCTCTTCTCTCTCTCTCTCTCTCTCCTGGATTTCGGTTCGCGCGAGAAACGGACGCGACGCGCTCGCTGATGCGAGGAAAATATATCGAGAGTACGAGGTTCGCGCGCGCGAAACACAATATGATGAGAAATCGTTTTTTCGCGAAACACCCGCGGGCCCGGTGGACTGAAATTTTAATCGTCCTTGGATGGAATTGGCACACGTGCGCGCCCGTGAGTCGCATCGGTATACTGCGCATCCCGCGCGTTACTTGCACCGATTGTATCCGATGTACATGCACCTGAGAGTATATGGAAAATCCCAGGTAATGACAGTGATGGTAATGCAACGGGCGACGCGACGCAATTTCGATGCTCGCGTTGCGGGAAATTATCGGCGCGGCTATTTCCGATCCGCCACCGGGAAACTGCAGAATGTAATCTCCCACGCATACACACACGCGCGCGTGCACGCGTCCTCTCTGTTTCCCTCTGGTCGTAGGGTCGATGTTCGATTTCGAGAATGCGCGATACTTTCGATCCCGTTAACGGAACATTACGCGAAACGCATAATCGCGTATTTCCAGCCGCTCCTTATCGCGTGAGAAATGAATTATCGGCACGTGGAGAAACGCGATTTTCATCGACCGTAAGCCGCCGAGGGACGTTCCGACAGAGTCGCGCCGAATTTCCGCCTGGCGACCCAACGAGACGTACTTTTCCCTCGCTCTCCTCCCTCACGGTAATGATCTCGCGGACGGACTCCGTTTAGCCCGGACGCGAAATTCCAACGAGGGCGGCGGCGGTGGTTTCCATTGTTACGCGCAGCGAACCCGCCGGGCTTTGTTCCGCCGTGCATAATGCACGCGCTGAAGTGGCGAACGAGAAATTTCACGGGCGGCGCAAAAAAGGGCGACGGGGCCGAGGGTGGTGGTAGACGTGTCGGTTATAAATTCCCGTAATCGCGCGCGCCACCGCGTACCTCCGTACCCAGCGTCATTAACGGCGAGTTAATTAACCGCCGCGCGAAGACGCGCCGCTGAATGAGATTAAGCTGCGTGTCGGATTAAGCGTTAAAGAGTATTATTTCGTGGCTGCCGGTGTTATCGACTTTTGGCCGACGCCGTGGCCATCGCGATTTAAAAAGGAAGTGAGAGAGAGAGAGAGAGAGAGAGAATAGAAGAGGGAGAGGAAATTAATTAGAATAGGGAAAGAGAAGAGAAGATAAAGGAAGATAGATTTTTCGCCAAAAACGAACTCTTATACGAAGTTATTAATTATTTTATGACGCTGTTAGAGAGAGAAAGAGAGAGGGAGAGCTTGTTAAAGAAACCTCGCTGAGGCCGACGTCAAGCCCGTCGTCTGAAATAAAGGATAACGGGACTTTGAAGTTACTTCCGACTGCGCGAGGGTTCTTTAAATGCCGGTTACGTCAATGCTTCCGCCCTTTTATAAGCGCCCGCGGTGCATCCTCGGTGCACAGCGCGACGACGCTGCCGCCCTTTGCATATTACCTCGGCTCCCCCTTAGGAACCGTCTAAGTGCCCTCCGGCAAACTTTCGACTGCTATACACGAATACTGAGCGACATAAACGGAAGAGACCGCTGCCGCCGCGAGCGGTGAGCGCGGATTTGCATTAGTTGCATCGGCCGCGCGCGCAGAAGCCTAAGGGCCGGCGTTGCTGGCACTAACGCGAACCACTTTTTTTTAATAGAAAAAAAAGAATGAGAAGGAATTTGTAATTCTCTCTTGATAGTTCCGTTTTAATAACGTTAGTATACGTTTTAACAACGTCAGCTCCGTGTTCATAGACTTCGCCCGAAAGCATCTCGCGAGGGATACTCGGAGATTTGGATTTCGAATCGGATCTGAGTTTGTCACTTGTAATCATTTTGCACAGAGTGAGAGGAAATGATTACCGCCTTGAATATCTCCGAAATATGAGAGTAGACGAAAAGTGTATCTAATAGAAATTGCGTTGATATATCAGCGGTCATCGTTCCGGGTACTTTCCGTAATTGTATTCTTCATCATCTTTTCAGCTAGCCGTTAATAAAATTTGTTTAGTTTTCGAAAATATTCCAGTTGATAATGGTTATCGTTTCATCTTGCATGTGTAATATTATATTTTTAGTCGCGATTGTCCGATTAAGTCAACATATTTCGCAAAATTATATAATTCGCTGATTAATATTTGAAAGGGAAGGGAGGAATAACATTAATATCAATATTGAAGAGGATCAGGAACAAATAGGAACCAGGGACATTCACTGAATTGGATAGCAATGTAATGACTTCCTCTCTTCTCTCGATGAAGCGTTGATAAAAAAATCGTTGTATGATCAACCCTCGTCGGCTCTTGCAAGTTTATTAATCAATTCGCTCCATTCAAAACCCAACAGAGTTTTATTCTTTAAATTTCTTGGAGCGAAATCTCATTCGAAAAATAGAGCAACCACCGAGTCATTAAAATTTTAGTGACTTTTCGCTCACATAAAGTGAATTTTCTACTCTGAATCGTCAAGTGAATATTTTCACTCGAAATTGAAAAGTGAATCTTATGCGTGTGCTCTACCGTTACAGGATTCACTAATCGATACAAACATTCGCTTATACGTCGAAATCCATCCTAAATTCGAGTGAAACATTCACTCCAGTGATTTCGAATGGCGGTTTTCTCACTATCGCTTCGAATGAAAATATTCCCACTTTTCATTTATTTCGATTGAAACCCCATAGAACTTAAATTTGTATGAATCGTTAGTCGAGATTTGTCTCACGTGAGATACGCAGATCTGAATTTGAAGTTCGATCTATAAGTTTATTTATTTGAATCATATGATACGCGTGATTTAGCACGTGATTAGATTTGCAATCACGATTCCGCTAAAAACTTCACATCTAACTCTAATCTCAAATCTGAATATATCACTTGCGACAAGTTCCAACTAACGACTATTAATACGGGTCTTAGGGTGTAAAATAATCATCGACGTTGACTTAATGATAACTTCCGTGTTTCTCGTCCCCGTTTCTTACAGGATCTCCTACTGCTCGGCGGATGCGACGCACGACCACGTGTTCGCGTTCATCGCGACGAATCTGAACGAGACGATGGAGTGTCACGCGTTTCTCTGCCCGAAGAGAAAAATGGCGCAGACCGTGACACTGACCGTGGCGCAGGCCTTTAACACGGCTTACCAAGCTTGGCAGTTGTCACAGTCCGATCCCAGGATCCATCACACGCAGGACAAGAGTCCACCGCTGACGGGCGACAGGATCGGTGAGGGCTTGCTGCTATTTTTGTGTCTCAGAATTACGAATTCTCCATGGCGATTTCAATCTGTTATCGCGAATGATAATTCCAACTTTTTCCATCCCCCTTCCTACTCGTAAGTGTACACTCAGAAAAAAATCGGTCGGATCGACAAGATCACGCGTTTATGTAACTGCTTAGGTCGCTGACCGATCGTTGAATCGGTTGATAACTCGTTACAGCAACTGTATAATTTGTTCAATAGACTAAACGTTGTGCTTGACAAATTTGGTTCGTTTAAACGGAGTTTCGTTGATCCTACCACTATTTTTTCTCAGTGTGCGGGATTGACGCGCGATTAGAGGTGCTCATGAGGAAAGTGACTTTCACCAAAGTCCAATTAAATTAATCGATGAATAATAATGAGAAATGCCAGCGCCAATTTCCAACTCGGTAACTTATCGCTCAATAATATCGAGAGTTTGTAATTTCTCTCCGTGCTAGCAGGATAGAACAGGTAACGCTTGACTGACGGCAATTTTAAATCGTCGACCGGCTTAATTGGACTTTGGTGAAAGTCACCCTAAGGCCGAATTTACAATAGGTGTAACGAACCTATAGCCTTTTACTCTGAGCGGCTAAATTGTAACGTAATTTCTAGCGAAGAGCGTTTTCAGTGCTACCAGACGTTACAATTTCCAAGATTTTAGCGTTATTGCGACTTTCGGCAACGCGGAAGGCGCCTTTTGTCGGAAATTACGTTACACTTTATTGCTTAGAGTACAAAAGGTTAAAGGCCTTACCATATACTATTGTGAATCACGAGCGGTGTAAGTCGGTGCAACTTGGCGGTAAATCGAGCTCTCTTCCCCTCTCTCTCTTTCTCTCTCGACTGCGCGGAAAATCGTCGAGCTCTAATATATCGAGCATTCGGGAGCGCGCGCGCGCCTGCGCAAAGAGAGGCCGGTGGTGGTCGTGAAGTGCAATGCCTATATGCGCTCTGCACTTAACCCACCGAGAGTGCGGATATTGTGGGGTGCTTTCTAGCCGGCGAGCGAGCCAGGAAATTGTGCGTTAATATGGGGATGGTACACACACCGCGAACGCGCGCGCTCCATTAAGGCTCGCGGGAGTGAGAGAAAAGAAGAGCGTTTCTTACCGCTATCGGTGGGCGAAATTTCCGCGCCGAGTTAGCGCGAAACGAATCAATCCGCCGCAAACGACGCGTAACATCCCTCCAATCACGCTGCTTTCGATCGCAGATAACAACGAGAAGAAGTGCACCGGCGGCGAGACCGGCAAGAGCACCGGCAAGGTAAACGAGCAGAACAAGCAGAACGGCCAACGACACAACGACAGCCAGAAGAATCTGCTGATCGATCTGTCGAACGAGCCGAAGCCAGCGGGAAATTCATGGGTAAGCGATGAAACTCGCGCTCTCGCGCGAGAAAATGACTCGTCGCTATCATCGGTTGCATTTCGGATTTCTTGGAATTTCTTCTCACATTAGCGAATTCGCAATTCAAGCTGTGGCCATTCCCAAGTATCTTATCGTATAAATAGAGTAAAACGTCTCTCATTTAGTTAAATAATAATCGGGTTATATGAGCGACGAATTTAATTAATAACAATACATTTATATTCGTTTCATTAGCTGATCGTATTTCTGAAATAGAGCTCCCTTTAGCTAAGGAAATAGATTTGACTTTATTATCGCCGAAATAAGAGACGGATGATTTTTCAAAGGAACATCTTAGCCGCCACGGTTACACCTTAGCTACGCGGGAAAAATAATTCCATTAGTGTAACTGCATTTTCCGTTGTCTGGGAACCAGACGGCAACTCAGTTGTGGAAACAGAAAGAAAAGATTTACGTAGGAAGTTTCTACTCAGTCAATTGCTCGCAGTTGTCTCAACTGAATTTTAATGCAGCTCGTTGATACAAATACTCTCACGATCGGTCGTAACAGAAATATCATTTCTTGCCACCGAATTTTCATTTCCTATCGTCGAATTTTTTTCTGGTCCTTATTCAGTTGTAGGAACTGAATTTTTTTCGTATAACTATATATATATATAAGGTGTCTGTCATCATGTGGGACGTCCATCATATACTTGTAGTTTAAGATAATGTGAACAAAAAAGTCCTGTACGATTTTGCAAACAACACGCAAATTTTCGAGTTATTAATTAAAGAAGCCCCTATACGTGGCCATTTTAAATAATTAATATATATATATATATATATACGACGATGGATATCAACTGATAGCGAGATGGATATTTCTTTTCGACGTGCGATCCTGTGTCACTTGCCGCTCGCTGCGTTACTCCGCCTCTAGAAGTCAGTTGATGCCCATTGTTGTTAGGAAATCTTCCGAAATAAGCCATTTTTCTTTATACAGAATCCGGCCTACCGCTTCCTGTGCACCCATTAGCTCATACAGAATAATTAATTCCTCATTAACTATTTACTATCAACTATTGCGAATTTTGCAAAACGATACGTGACTTCTGTTCAATTTTACCCATTCTACTTACGTATCACGGATCTCCAAAAAATGATCGAACATCCTGTAAATATAGAGCTTTTTCTGCTGATATGTTTTCTTCACATGTAGAGTGTCTGTCTCTCCCACGCTGCATAATCTCACTTTCCATGCTGCATAATCTCATTTTGCTTCGTTCGTTCGCTGAAAAGCACCGAGAGGAACGTCTCGTCCCCTCGCTCAGCCGAAAAACGCGTTTGCAGGTGTGCTTCGAGGAGGACTCGGACGTGAAGAAGAACCAGAAGAAGAACACGGCCAACAGCATCCCCATGACCACGCTGAGGCATACCAGCGCGTCCACGCCGGCTCACCACGTGGTGCCCCGACCGAGCACCGGTTTCAAGGTGCAGAATGCCTGGGGCGAGTCCAGGTCGGTTGACCTGATGTGCTCGTAGCAGGGATAGCCGGCGGCCGACAGCTTCAGGGACGTGCCGTTGATCACCGGCCTCTGGAAGCACCTCTCAAACAACGGCCAACCGAACAAGTCCAACCAGGGCGACCGTTAGCAGGCTCTACTACCGCGCGCGCGCTATTATTCTCCTCGTCGCGGTTCCGAGTTCGCGAAGAAGCGAGGACTCTCGTCGACGAGATCGCACGTTATATCGGTGCATTTGTTTCCGATCGAATGCTGATGATGGCGGATAGTGGCGAGAGAAAGAGAGAAGGAGAGAGAGAGAGAGAGAGAGAGGGGGGGG